TTCTGTGATCCTTTTTGATATTAAAAATGTATTCATACTCAAAAAGGTGGGAAAACACTGGAATGAAAAACTTATGATAAAGACAAGGTCTCCATTACAGCTTGTATCTAGATGCCCTCCCCAAAGCCTCATGTGCTCAGATGCAGTTTCTTGGAGGTGTCTGGATCTAGGTCGATGGGGGTGAACAAATGACACATGTGGTATTATGTTTTCCTTTTAAGACAAAATATGTTAACATATGAGTTGCTTTTTCTAAACTAAATCCTCAGTATTCAGGTTTAATTGTGGCATTGGCACTTTGTGATAAATAAGTGGGTTGTGTTGCAGCTGGGGCACTTGTCTCTAAAAGGCTCGCCATCATTGATCTAGGGTGTGAGAACCCTAGATGGATTAAAAGTGTGTGATACCTAATGCATTTAGCATAGGTCTGGGTGCGGATAACGCAGGCCCACCCTGGGTTTGGATGGCACCATCCGACAAGCTTGTAGCCTGGATGGGATGAAAGTCCAAAAGGTTCTCTGGCTGTTGCTTCCTGCCTGCCTGCTGTAGACTGTTTCTCCTCTGCCATGCCCTTCAGCTATGCTGCCCTGCCTTGGATCCAGCCAATTACGGACTGAAACCTCTACAAACTGTGAGTTAAATAAACCTTTCCTCCTTTAACTTTGGGTACTGGGTATTTTATCTCAGCAGTGAGAAAGGTAACTAAGACAGTCCCCTGAGCTGGAACGGCTGGTGGGAGATGCTGTGTTGGGGGGCTGTTTCTTATTGATAGCTGAGTCTTCAGCGACTGGCCCAGAGTAAATGGTAAATGTACGTTTGTTGAGTGAAATGAATTTACAGAGGGCACTGAGTGAAAATCCAAAGAAATTAAATGGTGTAGATACAGGAAACAATAAGCATATTATTTTTATTGGAAACCTTTTCTTGAGGAAATGGGAAAGCTGTTTCAGATACAGTGCAACCTTCCGAGAAAAGCAAAGGTGTGATTAAAAAAGAAAGAACAATTCTCTAGGAGGAACAGTAAGTTTATCAATTGCTTGGATTAATAGAAGCAAGCTGTGAAAAGGAAAGGTAAAATACTAGCTGATTGTAGGCCCGTCTTTATCAAGCTTTTGAAGCATAGGATAAAATTTACTTAGAATGTATACACACACCTAATTCCATGCTACTCAGGCTACTATTAAAATTAGTGACATTTCTTGCACTTCCTCTGTCTGGTTGTGGCTATGCCTAGGACATTTATTGGACAGAAAGTTAGTAATTTTCTGTAAATCATCCTCAAATGATCCAAAGTTGTTTCAGATGCAGTTTAAAACCTGACGAGATTAAGGTTCCCAGCGCTTTCAAGAATATCACAGTCTCCTGATTTGTCCATCTTGCTTTCAGATTTTCATGTAGAAAGTCTTTCAAAGTGAAACCAGCTTAGCTTTCCAAGGGATGGAATGCAGTTTGCTTCCATTTCATCCTGCTTTTGCTAATCAGTGTGTTCCAATCTGGTTTTTATCCTCTTCAACAACAAACTGTTCCAAGATCATTCCCACTGCTGTTACCTCATCAACTGAAAGAACTTTGCCTTTTGCTGGTTGAGTATCTTCTCCAGGACTCTTGGACCACCTCTCTTTAAATCACTTTTTCCCCTCTTGGTTTTAATGCAGGAACAAATTCCTAGTTTGTTTCTCCCCTTACTGAGCAAGCCATTCCTCCACTATTTTCTATGTGCATCAGCTTTCAACATCATTCATAATCAGATAAGCAAATTTGTCTCCTACTTACTCCTCAACTCTGGAATCCAGGTTCATACACGAATCTTGTTATCTGACTCATCCTCACAGGTCTCAAACTCTGGGAGCTGAACTCATGCTCCTCTCCATGGCCAGCATGCTCCAGGCTCCATATTTCAGTGCTTAGAGCATTTCACTTTCCACCATCCCACCAGGCAAAAGAGCTCAAAACTGTGTTCATTCTTGCCAAATCCCTCTGCCCCACCTTGTTGATCCAATATATGACCAAGACAGGGCAGTGTGACCACCTCTACCACCATCGTCCTAAGCTACAGTAGGATTTCTCTATTATACCATTTTAATAGTCCCCAACTGTTCAGTGCATATTGGTACATGATAAGCATGACTACTAAGCAAAATACTATGTGATCAATCTCCAAGGAGTACTCTTAAACATCTATATCTGTTGCACCCTGGTATTGGAGTTACTAAAGAAAACAAATAAAGCAATATCAGTTTTGGTAGCATGCATCCCGCCCCCACAGCAGTAGGTATCCCAGGCAGCCAGCACAGAGAAACTATCTGCACCTCTCTCTCATCACAGTACCAAGATCCCTCCTCCCTGAGGAGGACAAAAGTAGTAGTGGTGTGGACCAAGTGCCACTAACACACTCAAGCAGAACAAAGATGCATACATCGGGTTTGCTACAAAGAAAAATATTCCCCTACAATTAGATAAGCCCCACACAGTCCTTGTGGGTTCTTTTTCTTTTGATATAAAAGTGTCCCAGACCCAAGATTAATTCTTATGTGGCTAAGTAGGAATCAAAAGACTGTTTTTCTCAACAACTCTGCCTTCTATGAATCATTCTTCCGAACTCAACCACAGCAATCTTTGCTAAAGGAAAATGTGATTGCACTATTCTCCTACATGAAGTCCCCAGTGGGTTCCCATTGCTTTTAGGATAGATTTGAACTTGTCTCAGTGTCTACAGGACCTGGGTGGTGTGGGCTACTCTTGCTGCCTCGCCCAACAGCCGTCTTTCAATCTCTCTGTCCTGCTGCTCTGTCTTACTACTCCGTATTCATCTTTGTCCTTCTCTTTAGCAAATGCTGTTCCCATTCCTTGGAAATGTTGTTCTTTTCTTACCAAGTTAACCCTACAAGCTTAAAGACCATTTTCTTTTTCTGGAAAAATGCCCCTGTCTTATCAGACACAGTCAAATCCCCCATTATAAGTATCTGTACTACTCTGTAATGGAAATTTCCAAAATAGCCAGGCACAGAGGCACATGCCTATGGTCCCAACTACTCAGGAGCCAGGGGATTGTGTGAGCCCAAGAGGCTGAAGCCAGCAGGCAACATAATGAGAATTCAGCTCAAAAACCAACAACCGCCACAGCTGCAGTTACAACTTCATGTAGAATTACCTAATTGCCTGTCTCTATGTGTAGACTAAGTTTAATGAGGGCAGGAAAGTTCACAAACTTAATTCTATGATTCTGGTTGCAGAGAATGCTCCACAATTCTGGCTGCAACTGAATCAAAAACATAATACGTATATAGTTGCAATTTGCAGCCTGAGTTCGTGAACCGAAGAACCACTGTATACAGTTTTGATCATGGTTGAACCCCTGCAGGAAGTACAATGAGTGACACATAATAAGATATGTGGGTGTGTGTAAATACCTGTATATGTGTATAGAATACATAAAGCAGTACAAAGTATGTGTATATATACATATATACTCATACACATATCCACAGATATTCACTTCATGTAGCTTTATGTATATGTGTGTGTGCAACTAATTTAATCCTTATATTTAAAGTCTAGAATGTGGCATTTTAACACTTCCGTAACACCGTCAATTTCTCAGTCTACTACGTTTTTTAAGAGTATGAAATATATGTACAAAATAAGCCAACATGCTCCAAATCTGGAAATTGCACAGTTAATGTGTTCTAGAATTCAGGGTCAAAGGAGAGAGAGCTATAAAGTGATTTTTGTACTGCAACCATATAGTCCTTTGAGTACAGCAAGAGTTAAAGAAATACATGCTAATTCTATACATGTATGCATTTAAATATGACACAATTTACAGAAATGGAAAAAAATGTGTAGATAGGAAACAGATTCAGTTTTGTTCATATAGTCTGAAGAAAAGGTTAAGGTAAAAGTTTCAAAATTCTAAGAAAATGGATTTTAATTTTAAGAGGCTAAACTATTGAAAAATGGAATGAGAAAAGGCTTCTTTAGCGGTAAAGAAATTCCAAAAGTCTGCACTATTTGCCAAAGATACTACAAAGGGATGTATAAGAAATTTCTATAAAGTAACCATTGTTCACAATAATTCCTTTTCAAAGAACATTCCTGAAATATCTTGTCACCCAGCAAGCAACGCCAAGGGCAGAAGCTCAGAAGATATTTGCTGATCAAAGGAGTTTATACTGCTTTGAGATCCTATGGCAATTAATTGTAGTATTTTCCATGGTGGCCCGCATTTATACCTCCACAGTGAATTTAACTTGTGAAAGCAGTTAAAATACATTAGATGCAAAATTTGATGAACAAGATAATTTAAATCATAAATTCTGGCTTCTAAACAATGTAAAGTGGAACTGGGTGAGATAATGCTTATAATTATTCAGCACTGACCCTGACCTTGGGTAAATGCCCACTCAGTTGTAAGTATTCTATTAACTGAATCTAAGGATACATTCTCAAAAAATAATGATAACATTGTAGGAATTAATGTGCTATGACTCTTTTAAAATGCATTTGAATATATGAAAATTCTGGGGTGGTACATCTGTTGAAATCAATCTTAACATTGACTGTATATTGATATTCTATGCCATTTTTCTAGAGGCTTGACTACAGGCATAACAACCCTATGTGGTTTGGCTAAGAACTTTTTTCTATAAAGCACTGAAAGCAAAACCCTAAAGACTGAAAGTTTGTCCTACATGAATATTTCTCTCTTAAATACAGATTCAAAATCCTTTTACTACTTGGGCATTCTTCAGGAGATCTTCACTGGGTTGAGTTTTTCAGACACTGTGCTGATATTAGCAATCAGAGTTTTAACCAAAATGGGAAATACGGGGGGAAAAAATAGAAATTGGGACCCCGTCCAGGAAACACAGATCGCAATGTATATCCTATAATTAGAGTGCTTTAAAAATGTGAAAATGAAGCAAAACCTTTACCAAATGCTATTTCCAGAACAAGTGAATTATTATACATTTTGTGAGTAAGAAAAAAGAAGAGAATACCTGGGCTATCTCGGCTGGTTTGACGTTTCTTGGCAGAGCTGCTGCGGTTCTCTGCTCCTGGGATTTCATTTTCTTGTGCACAGACTTCTTTACAACTTTAATCTCTGAAATGAGCTCCACATCAGGGTCTGCATCTGCATTTCTTTTCTGGCTTCTCTGGCTTAGTGAAAGCTTGAAGGACAAAAGCGATTCATGCCTCAGGTTATCATATGAAGGAGGCCCGATTTTTTGAGTCTTGGAATTTTCCTTAAAGAACAAAAACCACGTTTTATTGTTTAGGAGCTGGGTCATTTATAATAGATCCCTCATAACATTATACAAGTAAGATATATGAGTAGTACTATCTTACTACTAATAAACAGTTTAAAAGTCAAGCCAGGTGTGTTGGCACATGGCTGTAATCTGAGAACTCTGGAAGGCTGAGGCAGGAGGATCTAAAGCTGGATCTCACCCTGGGCAATTAGTGACTTCGTGAGACTCTGTCTCAAAATAAAAAATTTAAAAAGGGCTGAAGATGTAGTTCAGTACAGCAGCCTTGAGTTCAATCTCCAGTACCCTAATAAAAGTTAAAAGTCAAAAGTTTAGAAAGTCAACTTTAGTACATGTATCCTGACAAAACGGTGGATGAAGGGTTTGACTCAGAAAGAGCTGCAGAACTGGGTTCAGTCAAGAGCTCTGATTTTGAGGGTGAAAAAGACCTCAAGCTGAAAACATACTGTACATCCTGACTTCCTCCCGACACAGGTTTACACAAAGCTGTCTCCCAACCCCTATCCCCTCCCACATCCTGCCTTCTGCCCTTTGTGGGCCTGTTTCCTCTGATAAGGACACATTTGGTAAGAAACCTAGAAAACGGGAGCCTGCTTTTGGCTCTAAGAAACGAAAAGTAACCAGCAGGAGGAGCAGCCTGGGCGGTGCAGCCCACACGGCACTCAGCGATTCCTGTCTGCTCCCCACCGCCCTAAGGTGCCTGCTCCGGAAGCCCTCTCCCAGCCATGCCCGGGGCTCAGGCAAGCTTTCTGGCTCCTTTCCTCCTTCATGTAAACCCCATTACTTTGGTGAAGTCACGCTACACAGTGGACACCAGTTTGCTTATGTGTAGGTCAAATCTTAGTACACAGACTTATTATTTTAGGGGCTTTATAAATCACATTTCTAACCCATTTCTCAGGGCAAGTCACTTGCATGTGATTTTTACTGCTTTCCACTCCAGGAGAATTCCTTGGCTGGCTTTCCTCTCAGACTCTGTGGTCATTTAGTATAAGTAACGTGGGGAGACCCTGCGGCTGGTTCTGCAATTCAGGACAGAGTGGTCACAGGTAAATTCCCCTAAAAGGGGGAGCTGGCTTGTAAGACTTCACCATTTCAACTTTGTACTGAGCTTATGAATCCCTATTCATTAGAGACATAAAATCTACTATGCATATCTCTCTATCTAAAGGTTAGCTAGGGCTTATGAATCCATTATCTGCCTGTTAAGAAGTATGAACAATTAAAAATAATTTCCTACAAGTACATGTGACTAACATGGCCGAGAGGCTTGAAGACTTCACAACTATTCCCTTTTAAAGAAGTCCTAAGGTTCAAAATGATCTCTAGATATTGAATTTTAAATAGTAACAGAAATATGAAAAACATCTTCCATGTCATTTCGCAAACATGAGAAACAAAAGATGAAGTTACATGTACAACTCAGACTCCGCTATGGTATCCAGCTCCAGATTTTCTAGGGCAGAGTACCCACCTACCTAAATAGGAGTCCCAGCTCTGACTACAGCTCCAAACTGCCGTGCTGAAAATTTTTCTGATACAATTGGCCTATATAGGTTTTGAAATGGCGTGTTTTCCTGTGTCCTGATATTCCTTATACCTCCGGGTGCTGTAGAGGCAACCCTTCCAAACTGAATTTTTCCACCCATGTGCCTGCACCCACCCAAACCAAGACTTCCCCAAACCAAGACTTCCTCTCCTGATTACTGGCACTGCCAAGCTCTGAGCCATCCATGTGAGTGGCCTCACATATTTTTGACTCACCTCCCTCTACCTAATCAGCAGTCACTCTCTGAGTGACATCACTTAAATGTTTCCTGCATTCGAAATTTTTCACTAGCTTCAAGTCACTACCCTTTCTAAAGGCCTTTATCATCGCTGCATGAACTACTTTCTATTATCTCTTGCTTCTAATTCAGCAATTTTTCTAGACATGAGTCACAACCACTTTCTGTACCATGCAATTCCTTTCACGAAAACCAAGAAGAGGGAAAAGAAGTGAGAGAAAGGAAGGAAGAGGGAGTACTGAATGTGTGTTATTGCAATAATCTCAAAAGCCTTCTAAAAAACCTATTTATGCCATGTCCTTACAATCTGAAATTCTAAATTAATCGTTCTGAAATTCTAGTTTTATTGTTCCCCAAGTGATTTTAATGTGCAACCAGGAGACCCCCAAGCCGAGAGGGACAAGGTCGTCTCTGCAGTAGTTACCACATTCACTACCCGGAACCCAGCGGCACCGAGCGTGATACACAAGCTGTCTTCAAATAGTTACGCTCCAACTCGCCAGTTCCTCTCTGAGCCTCCTCCATCCCCCACTGCCACCGCCACATCCCCCTTACGCACTCAACGCCCAACCTTGTGTGCAAGGCCCGCTTTCCCCATGCCAGGCTTGGGATAACTCGTTTTGGGGTCCTGCAGTTCCCTTTCCAATCTTGTCTACTCGCTGACCTCCCCCTCTTTGAAGTCTCCCTTCACAAGTCCACTATTCCCCCCAAATGCCTCCTCCAGCTTCCCGAGAGACAATTCACTGCTTTTTCTCCCATGCTCGGTGGCACTGTTCCTTTTTAGACGTTTATACAGATAACATTCACATAAGATAACATCCACTTTTAAAGCACTTTAAAAAGAAACCTTGCTGGGTGTGGTGGCACATGCCTGTAGTCCCAGCACTTGGGAGGCTGAGGCAGGAGGATCCTTGTGGAGTTCCAGACCAGCCTGGGCTATACAGTGAGCTTAAGGCTAGCCTGAACTGCATAGGGAGGTCCTGTCTCAAAAAGACAGAAAAAAAAAAAAAAAGAAAGAAATCTTCTTAGCAGTGTATATCCACATGCCAGCTCATATCTCACTAATAAGTAATCACTGCTATCTCTTTGTGGTTTATCTTTCCAGAGATTTATTTATATATCATGTACAAGCATATATATACTTTCACTCTTTGTGGTAAGTAAAAATGGTAGCATATTATACCAATAGTCTACATCTACTTTTTCCTTTGAAGATATGCCCCAGAATTCTTTGTATTTCAGGAAGAGCTTCTTTATTACTTTTTACAGCTGTATTATATTCCAATGCTCTGTACAGAAAGGTAGTCAACCAGACTGTCTTGGTTACTTTTCTCTTGTTGCTGAGACAAAATACCTGATGCCCAAAATGAAGGAAGGAAAGGTTTATTTAGCTCACGTCTGTGGAGGTTTCAGTCCATACTCTGCTGGCTCCAAGGCAAAGTGGCGCCTGGCAGAGGGCAACAGTTCATGGCGGCGGAACAGCAAAGCAACAAGAGCAAAAGGGGAGAAGGCAAGCAGCCTCTTTCCCTCCCTTATACTGTATGCAAACTACCTGCCCCAGGGCAGGTGCAGCTCTCACACCCATAATCCCAGCATTGGGCCACGAATCAGTCATAACTCTAGAATCCCACCCCATGACTGCATGAGGCTTTGGGGGTCATTCAGACACAAACCATAACACCGAGCTGTTAATAGATATTTACATCCTCTCAATCTTTTTCCATAAAAACAATTTTGCAAAGACTAACCCTGAAAAGAAGTAATTTCACATTAAAGTGAATATGACTATACAATCATTTTCTAAAACTTAAATTTCTGGGTCAAAAGGTATATACCATTGTAATTTTGATCGATATTACTCAATTGTCTTGATCAGGCTGTTAGGTGGCCTGGTTTACAGACATCCTTGTGAACATGCAAAGAGCTCTAAAAAAGTTATAGGCATTATTTTGAAAGTAGAGCATTTGATATGCATCTATTAAATGTACATTACTCATTCCTATCACCTATTGTTTAGGTCTCCCAGGGCTGAGAGAGAATTAAAGTCTCCTATTACAAGCGTGCCTGGTTTTTCCCCATGTATCTCTCCTAGGAGTTGTGTTATGGAATGTGGCCCCTCACTAGCTATGTGAAGTCTTTGTAACTGGTAGTCTTCATTGTAACTGGTGCTTGTAGCCTAATGACGTGTGCTTCTCTGAGTTATTTCATGTTTTTACTCTGGATTTTAATTTTTCTGATACTAGGCTGGATTCCTATTTAATTAAGTAGATTTATCTAAAGTAACATTGACTTATCTGAGTCACCAGTTTAGATGTATGTGTCCTGTATGCAGTTCAGGATTTATAACTGCTTAGTGATACAACCTGGAGTTTCTTTTTAATCTTTGATTAAAGTAAGTTCAAGCCACTTATATTTATTGATAAGGTACATTTGTTATAAGTTCAGTCCTAATATTTTATTTTTAGAATTTATAATTATTTTGTGTTGCTGGTGTTTACAATACCAGGCATGGAACGCAGGACTTCCACTCTGAGCTATATCCCAACTCCCTTTTTTAAACTTTTATTTTAAAACAGAGTCTTGCTAATTTGCCCAGGCTGGACTCAAACTTGCAATCCTCCTGCATCAGCCTCCCAGAGTGCTGGGATTACAGGTGTGTGTCACCTGTAATGGGAGGTATGTCACCTCCCATTTTGGTGGGTGAATTATTTCTACATTTCTACACCCCCATACAGGGCTGATCCTTTATATTTTTTACCCTAATGACCACATACTTCTTTTCCACTACTATATCTAGTATGTATCTATAATGTGATCTTTCCCAGTGTTGATCTTCACTAAAAAGTATGATTAAATTGCTTAAGTGATACCTCCTGATCTCTGTGAGAGGTGAGGCAGACAGTAAACTACCTTTCAGCTTTCATGTACGACCTCCCAGTTTGATGGGTGAATTATTTTTACATTTAATTTGATGCTTAGTGCCACAGGTCTCTATCTCATTTGCGCTGGTAAGCCCAGTCCTGTGCTGTGGAATTCTCAGACATCCTTTGCTGGTGAAATTTGGTCTCCAGTGGTTTTCTCATAAAGGGATGAAGAGAAAAATACTGCCTGAATTTTTTTCCTAGTTTAAAAACTATTTATCTGAGGCTGGGCACCGTGGTGCATCCCTGAAATCCCAGTACTCTGGAG